CGGACAGACAGACGGACAGAGAGAAGAGGATCCAGTGGATTTTATGTGGGGTGGGGGCCATGTCGAGCAAAGGCAGCTGGTCATTACGGGTCCCCCCGGGAGCAATGAGAGGTACATCCCCCGCTCTCCTGCCTGGGAGGGAGCTGTGCGGCGGGGACTACCTGCCAAGTGCTGAGTGCTGGCCGGGCTCGACGGCCGATGCTGCGGCTGGATGGCTACTTGGGAGATTGAGGTAAAGTTGGATACCGATTTGGGATCAAATATTTCAAGGAAATGCATGGGGGTAGCGGAAACAGCTGTTTAACTGTGTGTCGTACTTACGGGTCAGTGAGTAGCATGGGGTCGTTGGGCCCAATGCCCACGCCACAGATGTGATACGATGGTAAGGCACGGACGCGCGCCACGATAGAGATTGATGACCACGCAGAATGCAGAGGCGAGGGTTAGATGAGAGGATTTGCCGCTCTCCAGGCGCCAGTCTGAACACGGAGCCGGGAGGCGGTTGCCGGTCCATGGGCTTTGGACGGCAAGGGTCGCTGAGCTGTATGCGTTAAGGTTGTACATCAATCAGTAACAACATGATGCGATTGTGGTTCTGAATTGGGAACGGAAGCATGCTGTACTAAAGCAGCATTCCACGCCACGATGCGCAGCTGTCGTGGTCAACGAACCGACCCGCAATAGGTAGTTGTACAAGCCTAATTTGATCGACGAAACCGTTATGGTGAGTAATGTAAGTCAGAGAGCTTGAGGGAGAGAAGGCGTTCGCATGTCCGTACTGGTTTCGCAAGCAAGCTCGCAAGGTCCCCAGTCCTGCATCCCATCATTGCAGTGAGTCCCAGGGATTTGCATCGTCATATCTGAAAATATACCATCCTTGATGTCTTAATAGGATGATGCTGTGTATCGTAAAGTTTCGAGTCCAGCTAGCCGGTTGACAAATTTAAAAAGAAGCCTGCACATTTTAGATTGCTCGCTGCTGATAATATGCACCTTAACTAACAGGAGCAGAATCATGATTGCGTTGTTGGCTCGCGTGAGCGGCGTGCCTGGTGCTGTGCATCCAGGCGCGCTGCAAGCACTCCTCCAACAAGGTGCAGGATGTTTCCCAGGTAGACTTGCAACATGTCCAGCAGTTTTAAGGTGACCCGGCAATCCTTCATCGCACGCCCATCGTGACGCTTGCCAAGTGGCGTCTTTACGCAGGGCTGGAACAGCTCCAACGAGTCTGGCCAGCAAATGCTCGCTGTACTGCGGGCTCTGATTTCGATAGCGCGTCGCCCACAACTTCCACATCGTACGTCGCACCGCGCACGCCGCATCACCACCATCACCGGCGCT